GAAACAATGACAGAGGTGGGCGCAGCCCTATGCTGGAAAGGGCGAGTTTTCCAGGGCGATCAGGCCTAAGAAAGAACGCATAAAATCCTATGAAACCTACTTTGCCAATACCCTCAATTTAAATGATAAGGTTCCAAGCCTGAAATGAGTTTGTTTCTCCAAAGTTTTGTGGCCCTTTATCTGACCCTGACTCAAAATAAGCCCTCATAAAATAAAGAACATAAAATAAGTTCTGTAAATGTTATCTATTGTTTAATCATTTCTGCCTGAGAATAATTGATGAACTTTATTTCTGTGCAAATTGAACCCAATAAAAGCTTGTCTAGGCAAGGGTTGGGGTGCTCTCCTCTTGAGAAAGTGGTTGAGCCATCCCTTTTCCTCCACAGGACTCGGTAGTCTGTGTGAATTTATCTCGTCTCTCATCCACTGTGGGCTGGTGTCCGAGTCACCTTATCAAACCTGTTGGAAGACTGAGAATTGGTCTATATGATATTGAGGTCATCAGTGTCCTTGATAAGCCTGCACTTTGTGGAGTCGTTGGGGAAAAAGCCTAATTACAGAGGGTTTAAGAAAGAACTGGAGCCAGTGAGTATAGGTGACTCTTTTGAGGAGTCTTGTTAAGGGGAATAAAAAAATAGGACAATTGCTGGAGGAAAATACATCAGAAAGAGGGTTTCTTGGTTGTTTTTGTCTGTATTAGTTTTCTATCGCTGCTATAACAAATTACCACAAATTTAGTGGCTTAAAACAATATAAGGTAATGATCTTACAATTTTGTAAGTTAGAAGTTCAACTTGGGTCTCACTGAGCCAGAAATGAAGATGTCGGTAAGACTGTGATCCTTTGTAGAGGATCTGGGGGAAAATCTATTTTTTTTTTTTTGTCTTTTCCAGCTTGTAAAGGTCACCCACATTCCTTGGCTCATGTTCCCCCTTCCTCCATCTTCAAAGTTGGCAACACCGCATTACTCTGACCATGCTTCTACATTCATATGTCCTTCTGACTGTCTTATCCTGCTTCCCTGTTATACTTTTAAGGTCCCTTGTGATTACATTGGGTCCCCTGGGATAACAGAGGATAGCTTCCTTATTTTAAGATCAGCTGATTATCAACCTTAATTCCCTTTTGCCACATAACCTAACATATTCACAGGTTCTGGAGATTTGGACATTGACATCTCTGGGGAGTCATGGTGCTGGAACACATTACAGCATACTTGTTGATGTTAATAATTATAGAGAGAACTTAATGATACAGGAGAGGGCTGGATCATTGGAGTGACAAAGAGCAAATGGAGGACTGCCTTTCCATAGGAGCAAGAGAGCTTCCTCTCTATTTCAGAGAGTAGCTTGAAAATAACATAAGGGAACAAATGCTGGCTGGTAGGTAGATATGGTGGTGGGAGCTTGTGGGAGTCATTTTTTCCCTCAGTGACCTAGAAACAAGGTCATAGACTAAGACCAAGGATGGGAGGTGTTGGAGGTATAAGAAGAAATTATTAAACTGACATATAAGAGAGCAAAAGCATGAAAGGACTAGAGAAATATCATGAACAACAAGGTAGCATCAAAACCTGTGACCACTAAATGTAAAGTGTGACCATTCAACTTGTTTCCTCCAGTAGCACAGACAAAGCACTGGTATAATAATTAGCCAGGGTAGGATAACTGCTCTACAAACTCCAAATTTCAGTGCCTTAACACAACCGAAGATGATTTCTCGCTAAGAAATTTACATAGGTTGTCTCACTTAATCCTCTCAATGGTTAAATATAGTGGCCATTATTATTATGCCCTTTTTCAGATAAGGAAATTAAAGAATTTCTTGAAGTAAGCCTAAACCATAATTTTTGCTTTAGGTTTTAATTTTGGGGCATACTTGAAAATAGTATTTGCCTCCTGGTCACCTTCAGACAACTAAGCACACTGCTCCCTTTGCTGTTGAGAACCGCTCTGCCTGGTTTCAGGAGTTGTAACTGCCCCCCATGGCTAAGGCTGAGTGAGCAACCTCCAGAATGCGAGCCACTAAGGAGACAAAGCTTGTCCCCTGCCCCCAATGGCAGGTTGGTTAGTCTATGACAGTACAATCCCTCAGAGGGGGGCAACCTAAGCCAGACACAATCACTTGGGAGGCCATCATGGAAGGACTCAGGAGGCTGCAACAAAGAGGGAGTGATGGACCCTCACCCCCCAGCTATTCTGACATAGCCTGAGTCCCCATTTCTGTCTGGGGAGAAGCGCTTCCTGGCTCTAATCCACTTAAGCATAAAAACCTATGACTGGGAAGGCAGTGCAGCCCTTTGCCAGATAGAGCAGGACCCTGGGTGATCAGGCCTAAGAAAGAATATGTAAAATCCTGTGAAACCTACTTTGTTTAGAATGCTCTCATTTAAATGATAAGGGTCCAAGCAAGAAGTTTGTTCCTCAAAGTTTTAAGGCTCTTTAGCTATCTGACCATGACTGAGAATAAGCCCTCATAGTTCTTTGAATGCTATCTACTGTTTGATCCTTACCTGTATTCTTGCGCAAACGAACCCAATAAAAGCCCCTTGAGGAAGGGGCTCTTGGCCTTTCTCCTCTGAGAGATTGGCCACCTCTCCTCCCCAAGCAGATCAAGTCTTGGTAGTTTCACTTTCATCTGTGGTGGACAGCGGGGCTTTGCGGGCAAAGTTTCCCCCATCACTTTGCCTGGAATCTTTCCTCTCTTTCCTCACTGATTTCTAGAATCAGCTCTGCAATAGTCCTCTGGGAGAAACCTTCCCACAAATCTCCAGACACGTTTATTATCTCCTTTGTGCTCTTTCTATAGGCCTTACATCATTACAGTATAGTGATCTGCTCCACATTTATCCCCTGACACCCCCTGTGCCTTTGCAATCCTTTGTATTCCCTCTCCCCTCATCCAAGACATAGCAATGATATTTTATTTCAAAAATCATAAACTACAGCACTCACCATAATGCTTGGCAGTGCAGCTGCTATTTATCTGTTCATGAAGTGGAAGAAAAGAAGGAAGACGAACGAGGCAATTCTTTGACACTACAGAAGGAAAATAAGTATCTGCTCCCTTTGGAGATGAGTGGGAAACTAAACTATCCATCTCATTGTTCTGGCTAAAAGTTTTCTTTATGAAGGACAGTTGTGGAAGGCTTGAGCTCTCTATGGAGGTAGTCCACCACTCAGTGGAGGTGTGTGTGCACTGCAGGGAGCTCCGATTATAGGGTGCTCTCACTGCTGCTCAAGACAAACTCTGAGAACAAACTGTAGTCACCCACCACTCACCGAATCTGCCCTATAAGCCGTCACTGTCTCTGCCTTAGGCCCTAAACCATCTACCTCTGTGCCCCCCCCAACCTTTTATGATGAGACATTTAGGATCTCTGTTAAATTGATGATTTCCTTAGACCTGCCGTAGATGATTCTGATTCAGTGGGTAGAATAATTTGTATTTTTTAGCTAGTACTCCCAAGTGATTCTTACTATCAAGGCTAGGAAATTAATCATCTTTGTTTTAGTCACACTATAGAATTACGGCAGCCATTTACTTTTCATTGACTTTAAGTTAACTTAATTTTTTTAATCTACTTGAAAATTTTAATTTATTTTTAGAGAGGGGAAGGGAGAGAGAAAGAGAGGGAGAGAAACATCAATGTGTGGTTGCCCCTCCTGCCCCCAACTGGGGACCTCTGCAACCCAGGCATGTGCCCTGACTGGGAATGGAACCAGTGACCCTTGGCTTCACAGTCTGGTGCTCAATCCACTGAGCCACACCAGCCAGGGCTGGACTTTACGTTAACTTTAAATATATTATTGGTTAATAGATGAAAGTCATTTAAGGTATAGCTTAATACTTATATAATTCTGCAGCTTTTACCTGTATTTTCAACAGGGTGATTCAAGTGAGAGCAGCTTTTGAGAGTACCATGGGGCAACTCCGAACTTCAGAACTGTTCTGACACAGGAGCCAAAACAAGTATTGAATTGAACATTAGTACCAGCATAATGATCTGGGCACTATCGAGTCCCATTCACCTCTTTCTTGGTTGAGGTCAGAGATCTGAGACAGGCACCATAGTCTTCCTCATCAGACTTGGGACGGAAAAAGACGGAATCAGAGAACCCTATCTCTTTTCCCTGGGCAAGATGCACCTAGGCAAGGAGAACTGAGGAAAAAAATAGGCCTGATTATGTATTCCTATTTTCGACAGCCACAAGTCTCCAACATAGTGAGAGGGGATAGGTTTAGTAAGTTCTTGTTGCTGGTCGCCTGTCTTCTTGGTCAGATGCAGTTAGGTTCTCCTTGTTAATCAGTGTCAGAGGGGCTCTTCAGGTAGGAAAAATAACAGCAAACGTTTTTGAAGAGGAAGTTAGTCTTCAGTCACTTGTAACCTTATGAAATCCGTCTGGGCCGCTTGGCTGAGGGACCTCGGGACTTCACAAAACTTGCTCCCGTGTGAAAGAGGCGAGACTCTTCATAAAACAACACGGCATACAAATAAGAAATCACTCAGGGGTTACGCGAGCCCCCGAGGGACGCACAGGCGGAATCCCAATCTCTGAGAGTCCCAAATTCAGGCGTCTGACCGACTGGCGGCAGCTCCCGCCTTCGGTGCTCGGGGGCAGGGCGAAGGCCAGTCACTTGGGCCTCGCAGCCCTCTCTGCTTATTTCCCTTACAAGGACTTGGACCCACAAGCCCTGCCCCTAGCCGTACTCTGGTAAGTACAAGAGGCAAACCGCAGAGGATGGACTCTACCATCTGCTCAAGTGAAAGGGGGGAAGAAAGAAATACGTATAAGAGTGGATACAAAAACCACAAAAACTCAGGCATCAGACCCACTGAACCACTACATATTACTATATTTCTAAATCACCGCTTCATATTCTCCCCCGTTCACTTGGTTAAAATCGCGCCCTTAGAGCGTTCGCAACTGAGCCCCCCGTTAGGCCCTCTCTGTTGGCCTAGAACTGTGACTAGTCTTCCTTCCGGTTTTGTAAGCGGAGGCCGGAAGTGCTGGATTTTAGCGACTTTGGGTGTGGAAGGGTGGTGTTAGCGGCAGGTAGGGCTGCGAGGAGGGACACCGAAGCGCTCAGATTTTCACGATTGTGCAGGGTGAGTGGTGCTTGCGGGCCGGTGGGTGGGACCCATACTGCAGACCCATCTCCTCGGGGCGGCTGGGAGAGCAGCGGCGCACCTGGGCAGGTGTACTAGCCGATTCCCCGGTTTCGAAGGCCGCGGTCCCAGTGGCCCAACCGCAGGACCTTAGCTCCTTTGCCTAACTTGGAGTTTGGAAAGTGTGGCTTAGTTCCCCGCGCCGCGAACTTGGGCGATAGCCGAACCCGCGAAACCCGAGCCTTGCGGCTTTTGACTCCGGTACTATGTTTAGTTTCTAACGTAAACTTACCCGATTCAAGAGAGTTTGCGCGAAAACTGGAGCCCTGTGTCCTAGCCCAGCCCCACTGCTGCAGCTGTTGTGACAGCTGTGGAGCTACGTTTAGTAGGAAGAATTAACTCAAATTAGGTTTCTTAGCTCAGTACCCATTTTTGTAACTAGAATTTTTTTTTAAGATGAGTTGGACAAAGGGGGGGGTTAGAGTTTAATTTGCGGTTTGAGAAAAATTCCAAAATATAGCATCGCTTTCTTTTGGGGTGGAGACTTTGGATTAAGTCAATTTCCAGTGTTAACTTTTAAGTAGTTGAGCATATGAAAACATATATCAGTTTCTTACAGAACTTTGGAACAGAAATATGCATTCAGTTGAGATTTTAACCTAAGTGCAAAAAATTTCATATCCAAAGATGAAAAAAGTTGTAGTTTCTTAAAATTGCTATTATTTGTTCTGAAAGGCTTTTGGTAAAACTTACTTAGAAAAGCTTTTTATTTTCAAATGTGAAGCTTTAGTGGCAAGTGAACCCTGCCACTACACCCTGACAACTAATTGCCTTTGTCAAGTGCTAAGAACTTTTTGGGTGTGGCAGGCTTAAGAAAACTAGCCGCACCATCAAACGGAAGTTTGCGCAGTAATTGAAAACTTGGTTTAGTTAGAACGGATGCACCAACCTGAAAGTGTACTTTTAAAAAAAACTGTTTGGCACCACAATGTTACATATGCTTAGCTTGAAAAAAAGGGCATCGATTAAATGATTTGGATTTGGGAAGTTAACCAAATTTTTTTAAGATGGGAGTTTTTCCTTAAAAAATGTATCGTATCTCTTACAGTACTGTCAGTTTGAGTGGTAGTTATATAAGTCTAGTTTACATTTATTACAACATTAAAAGTGTGGGACTGTAAGGTTCTACTAGAGTAACTTAATGTGATATTAGTATGGATTAATTCCATTTTATAAATGAGAGCATAGTATCTAGAGATTCTGAAAAATCTTCTGATTGCCCTTGGTGGGGGAAATCCTCTGAAGATTTTTATTCTTCATTTCTCCTACCACTTAATGTAGTCTAACATCTTCCTTACATGTATTTCTCCTTTTGGCATAACCCTAAATGACTTTATTCCTATTTAATCAAGCAAAAATAAAACCAAACCCTGTTGATTTAAAACAAGATTATATTCCCTTTAGATCTGTAAACTGAATCTCCTTGATTATCATTGACTGTTTCTTTGACTTTCTCACGCATCTGAAATTCGTATGTGTGTTTCGTAGAAGCCTGCTGTGCAAGTCACTGCTTTTAAGTCTCATACAGCACATGTCCCTTCATACATTAAATATCTGAAAAGTAGACTCTAGACTCTTAGAATGAGTAAGACCATTATAATTTGGAGATCTCGGGTGCCTACATGGCAATCTTACCATCCTAAATAAAGAATACTTATATTGATATATGAAATATTTTCATTTTACCCCGGATTGCTAAATTTCCGTGAAAGTTGTATATTTGCTGAGGTCATTGAGAATTGTGCATTTGCTGAGGTCTTGTTACATGATGACAGTTAGACAGTCTTAATTGTTTGGGGAAAGTAAAAAAATGGACAGAAAACTGGAGTGATGACAAGGGAGTATAATGACAATATCATAAGGAATTTGGTCCTTGGGATCATAGCACTATTCCTGATTTGGCTTCCTCTCCACCAGTGGTTCTTCCACCACATACTTTTTGTGTGGTAGGAAAAAATAAACTGCACTTTCCTTGTTTTGAAACAGCTGACTGTGAAGTTAAACTCCCTATCCCTGAAAGGCTCCAGGTTTATGGTGGAAGATTAATGCATAGAACAAAATACAGTCTCCTTAGTAGTAACTTGCCCAGTGTTAACACAGTCTTAATTTTACCAGTTTTGGTAAAATAAGACTAACATCTGATCTCTTAATCTTAAGAATCTCATGTAGCTTCTAAGCACAACAGCATTTTTCAGGATTTGAATAATGGATTCTCCCCTCTGAATTTGTCAGAAACAAAGATCTTTTCTGAACTCATGGTATTTGATAATCATGTGCCACTTTTGAGTTATTTTTCAGTATTGTCACACATTGTTTTAAATTGAGAGTCATACTTCTGGAATGAAAACTATGTGGCTCATTTCAAAAGTTAAACCAATCATCTTATTTCTTTATAGTTGCCTCCCCAACAATATTTTAGGCTCCTTGAAGACACTTGCTTTGTATTTCTTAATTCTTAAATTGATTTCAACACTAGTGACATTTGATGCACATTACTGCCATTAACTGATCAAAATAAAGGTTGATGATTAAGTATTGAATGTGCAAAAGAAAAGTTATATGTAATACCATTGTCAGTGCTGATGCAAAAAACTTTATAACTTTAACAAAACTGATGCATTTATAAATTTAAAGAATGCGTGAATAAAAGGAAGATGAATAAATACATCAGAACTCTGTATATATTACTTTATAACCCAACTAAGCATTCTTTTTTTTTTACTGCTTTTTTTTTTTGAGAGAGAGAGGGGAACATTAATTTGTTATTTCACTTATTTATGCATTCATTGGTCAGTTCTTTTATGTGCCCTGCCTGGAGGTCAGACCCACAACCTTGGTGTATCAGGATGATGCTCTAAACAACTGAGCTAGCTGGCAGGGCCCAAACTAGAGAGACCCCATCTCCTCCCACCAAATGTAGTAATAGGAGGTTTTGTTATTTAAAAAAATCAGTAGTGAACTATTTGACTTACAATTCTAATCAGTATCTTTGTTCTTAAGATAACTGACATTCTTGTATCAACATTCTAGTATCTTGTATCATGTTGTCAAAACATACTATTTTTAAAGACATGCTTTGGTTTGCAATGACATGGCATACCTAAAATAATAAAAGATTTGGACTGGTAAATATGTGCCACTCATCAGGTCTCAAACACTTACTCTAAGTCCTTTAGTACCTTTAAGAGATGAGGAATAATACACTCCATATTCCTTATAGTTCTTAAAACTACATTTAGAATAGAGGGGAAAATTACAGCTCTATGTAGTTGAGATAATAATGGAATATAATTACTGTCTGTAAAGGACATTACAGCATGAAAATATGTTTTCGTGAATGGTTTAAGTAAATTATGAAAGGCAGCCTTCTAATGGGTGATTAAAGGAAACTAGGACATTAGGGACGAGTATATATCATAACTTCATTGTCATGTAAGGTTTATCTTACCAACATATTCCAGTCTATCGCCAAGGGGTGCTATATTGTATGGACTAGAATTTGTGACTCTTCCTTGTGGAGTTTCTTATTAAAATCTAAGGACAGATTTAGGTGGGGAGGGGACTAAGACTGAGTTTTTCTAATTATTTACAAAATTGAATTTAGTCTGGATGATGTGGTATAATCAAGGAAAGAATGTAAGAAATAACTTTAAACTCACACAAAGCATTGTGTCCTAAGGTCATTTTGCAGTGCTGAGATTGAGGTAGTGCTTCATTCTTTGCAATCCACAGACTTATTTTTAGACCAGGGGCATAGTGTTTTGCTACGTCATAGCCAAGTGTTGTTTTCAGGACGTAGGCTTTAAAATTGTTGTCCTGGTCAGGGGATGAAATCAGTGGTGCCTATTTTAGACCTGCTTGGAAGAATATAACTCAATACAGTGTTAGTCTTGCTTGTTAGAGGTTTTGCAGTCTACTATCACCACCTCAGCTCTGAAGGATGGTACGGTAAAACTTTACCCAAAAACTATGGGATTCTTACAGTTTTTTTTTAAAGATTCAGTGTTGAAAGGAAAAATTGCTTTTTCATTTTAGGTATTAAACATCCTTTTTACTTTTAACTTAAATTTTATAGGGATAAATTTAGGTAATTGGAGAGCAGAGTTAGTTCCCGTAACTCTTAAAAATGTTTTCCAAACTTTTTAAAAAACTAAATTAGCTTTAAAAACTGTTATGCTCTGATATCTGTATAGAGAACTCAGTCACTTCTGTGCAAGAAATTGATTTTGGTAGAGTGGGAATTCGGTAAAACCTAATTATAGATTAATTAACTTCAGAGTTTTCCATGCTTTTCAGTTTGCCTTTCAACAAATATCTTTCTTGACTACTTTGATTTCAGAATTGAGGGTACAGTAAGAAATGCTAGTTAGAAGTAGAAGAACAATATTTGGCAATAAAGACTAGGAGATGTTCCTTCCATTAGTCCTCCTTCCTATTTTCTGTCCATTTAAGAATGGAATAGCTAGCTTAGGCTAGGGCTGTAGCAGAATAGACTTGTTGAAGATGTATTAGTATTCCTCAATTCTCCCAAAACACTGAAGTTTAGAACTGGAACTATTTCCCCAGGATACCTATGTTCTTTTGTTTCTTGTTTCTATATTGCTTGTAAACCAGTAGATTTGGTTATCATTTCTTATTAGACTAAACAGCAATATAAGGGACATGCAATCTTGTTGATATCCTTTGCACTTTGACTTAATGTTGGTTGTAGTTTGTAATTTAAAGTTAGTGATGGACTCTTGATTAAATGTCAAAACTACTAAGGTTGAGTGAGCTCAAAGCAAGATTCTGGTTTTTCTCTTTGTAGTTTGGTTCTATGAGTAATGGTATCAATTAGTTGTGATGTTTTTCTAAGTGATACTATACTGCTAAATAATTTTTAGACACATCTCTAAGTATGTTACACATATCAAGAAGGTTGATTCAGTATACCTTTTGTTATTCTTTGTCTTGTATTTCCCTTCCTAATTAGGATCTAACCACCACCATGTCGAGCAAAAGGGCAAAGACCAAGACCACCAAGAAGCGCCCCCAGCGCGCAACGTCCAATGTGTTTGCCATGTTTGATCAATCACAGATTCAGGAGTTTAAAGAGGCCTTCAACATGATTGATCAGAACAGAGATGGTTTCATTGACAAGGAAGATTTACATGATATGCTTGCCTCACTTGGTAATGATCAGTTTTAATAATATATTATTGGATAGTATTTTTGTGATCTTTTATGATAATTTCTTAAACCTTAAAGCTCTGTACAGCCAATCTAATGAATGATGTTATAGCTTACTAAATAAGATTCAAAGTCACCCTGGCTGGTGAAGCTCAGTGGATTGAGCTTGGGCCTGTGAACTAAGGGATCGGGGTTCGATTCCCATTCGGGGCACATGCCTGTGATGCAGGCCAGTTCCCAGCAGGGGGCACAAGAGAAGCAACCATACATTGGTATTTCTCTCCCTCTCTCCTTCCCTCCCCCTCTAAAATAAACGAATAAAATCTTTTTAAAGATTCAAAGTCTTGAGCAGTGTCTCTCAGCGTGGTGCTCGGACCACCTGCAGATTTGTGGCCAGGTCTCATGACTGTGCTGGGGGCCAGCTGTTTGTGTATGTGTCGCAAGCAATGATCTTGACTGAGAGCGGTGGTGTTCCTTTTGTCATCCCAGTGGAATAGCATGTAATCTCCACTTTCAGTAAAAGCCCTACTCATTGAAAAGGCTATTTTCCTAATGGTTTTGCTATCACAAATGGAAAGAGCAGAGCATAAATGATCCTCTTTCTTGTCAAAGTATTTAGTATGATGAACAGTTGATGCATTTTGTGATATAATCAAAATTATGACCTTTTTTGTTTAGGGAAAAATCCAACTGATGAGTATCTAGACGCCATGATGAATGAGGCTCCAGGTCCCATAAATTTCACCATGTTCCTCACAATGTTTGGTGAGAAATTAAATGGCACAGATCCAGAGGACGTCATCAGAAATGCTTTTGCTTGCTTTGATGAAGAAGCAACTGGTAATTACCAAGTGATTTAACTTTTAGTTATGGCAACGAACGTATATAATGACTTGAAATAAGACATAATACTCTCAGGTTTATACTATACCTAACTGTTGTTTTGACAGACTTTTCCTATGGTATCACTCTCTTCACTGCCTCTGTCCTTAAACATTTGATTTACAATTTAATAGGTATACTTGAAAGTTTTTTAGGAAACTTATACTCCACATGGATTAGGCTCTCACTAAATGCATGGTGAATGAAAAACTTGCACTAGAGCATCTTGGATAAAGTGAAAATTGCTATAGGCCACAACCCCGATACAGCCCTGTATTTATGAGGTACCTCTCAGTTCTGAGATTGTTTAAATCTGATATTAGACTTTATAGTTTTGTGTTCCTATTCTGTGTAATAGCTGTGGGTTTAGGGTAAGTTATTTAAATTATCTAAATCTCTGTTTTCTGATTTGTAAAATGGGTGATAATATTACCTAACTCATAGGGTTGTTATGAGGATTAAATGAAGAAATAAAGTAACAGCATACTGCGTGGCATAGAGTTAAATCTCAAAAAAATTCAAAAAAGTTAACTACAGAAATGCCTGATCCTTTAACAAAAGTGGATATAAGAGAAAAGATAAGGGGGCAACTCACATGACAAGTTTTTGAGAGGGAAGACCCACTGTTTGGTTATGCATCACTTGGAGTAGTTTGACTAGAACAAGCATAGTCTGGTAATGGAAGCATGTTGTCCCCAGTTTGGCTTTCAAGGCTCCCCACAATATGGCCTTTGAGCCTATTCAAGTATACCACCCTCGACTCTTGTATCATCTTTCTAACCTCCTTCCAAGCTCCCCTGAGCATTGCTGTCCTAACTTAACCTCCACCATTTCTGCCTCTATGCCTTCCTCGTCATATCACCTTCTCTTTCCTCTTGAACTCGAAACTCCTAGCATTTGAAGGGCTGGGGAAGAGACAGGCCGGTGAGATTTGCTTTTTTTGCTCCTTAAAAATACTTGTGTATTGATTGAATTCTTTTATTATGAGCAGGTATTAGTTTTTGTTTTTTTTTAGTTGGGGGGGGAATAAAACCTTAAAAGAGTGAAATGTCTTATCCTTCAAAATCCTCTCAATTGTCATATTCTTTATAGAGCCTATTCTGCATTTTCATACTATTTTCTTCTGCCTCTGAGAAACTTAGTCTTTCCCTGCTTTCTAATTCCAAACAATTTTATGTCTCCTTCTCCTGGTACATAAATGTATCTCATCTTCTATTTTAGTTATATACTTATTCCTAATCATCATAGTGTATCCCTGCTTCCAGGGTAATGGCTGTGTGTCTCGGTGGCATTATATTCCCATCTCTGTAACCCCTCCTCCCCTTCTAGCACCTACCACTGTCCACTGCACATAGTTGGTGGTTAGTTTACGTGATAGTTGAACAACTGGGCTATAGATGATGATTTATTTCTACATGCTGAAAGTCTAAGATTTGGGACCCCTCCTTTTTTTTTTTTTTTTTTGTTTAGGGTTGAATTAGAATCCCTCCCCATCCCCCACCCATTAATCCAGAGTTTCTTATGTGAACTGACCTTCTACTTTAAACTCATTTTTTAGGAAGTATATTAACAATGTTTTAGCTTAATTTTACAAGCAAGGAAGTTGGTGGGGGGGGTTTGTTTGGTTGGTTTATTTTTTTAACATGAAATTCAAAATCTCTGCTAAAATTATCATTTATCACCTTTGGTGTAGTAGAGTATTAGTGGTTCTCAGTCATGACTGCATATGTCATGAATTACTTGGGGAAACTTAAAAATATCAATGCATCTGGACTTTTTTTTTTTTAGTTCTCCAAATGGTTCTTACTCTGATGTGCAGTCAGGTTTTATGAGAATCTGGCTTTCACAGTTCCAGAATAGAAAGCACACCTTCAGCTCACTACTGACATGCCCAATGCCTAGCCTAGTGACTGACATAATTAATGCTCAATTGTTTACTCAGTGTTTTTGCACACTCTGGGCCTGGCCATATTTGTTACTAAATCTAAATTAGATTCATAAAAAAACATTAAAAAAATTTCATTTTATGTATTGAAAAAACAAAATCAGAGATAAAATGAATTACCTGAAATAGCTTGTTAAAACTGGATCTCATGACTCATTCTTTCACTGAAGCACTTTATTGATTTGGTATTGATTTTAGTATTATTTACTTATAGAATAAGTATGATCATTCATGCTACTTTAAGGAACTATGAGGCTTAGGTTTCTTAATCATACTTTATTCCTTTTGTTTAGGCATAGGTTTAGCCCTTATAATCAAGCGATCAGGAGATGGCTGTAGAGGAAAGTTAATACAGCAGAGAGCAGGTTAATACCATTAAGCAACTAGGTATTACCTAGACAACTGCTAAGGCTTATTTAAGCATGTGGAAACCCCATATTTTATGGAGAACATGCTTAGTCAAGTGTAGATATTCCTTATATCTTTAGAGTGGTATATATTCTGACACCTAGTTCTTTATTTTTTTAGGCACCATTCAGGAAGACTACCTGAGAGAGCTGCTGACAACAATGGGAGATCGGTTTACAGACGAGGAAGTGGATGAGCTGTACAGAGAGGCACCTATTGACAAAAAGGGAAATTTCAATTACATTGAGTTCACACGCATCCTTAAACATGGAGCAAAAGACAAAGATGACTGAAAGAACACCATATTCCGGCCAAATGTTCCTTGTTACCATTTTGGGTATTTCTGAGACTTTCTCTTAAAGCCTATAGTATGCCTTAGCTTTACAGTTCTAGCCTTTCTTGTGGTATTTATTCTCAGCCATTTTGGGCACATGCATCTCTGTAATCAGACTGGAAATGGGACTTTTTGTCATTTTCAGAATAGAAAAAAGGGTAATTTAACTTACTGGCTCCCCTTATAACTATAGTCTACACAGAGTCAATATATTTTTTCAGAGAAAGTTATTCACTCAATTTTTTTCTGAACCATAATTAAACTTTTATGATAAAAACTTACTTGTTTGAAACCTCTTTATTTACCAAAATTAACTTTATTAGTTTTAGTTGCACCTTCCAAAGAAAGGTAGATGAGGCAAAAAGTTATTAGACCCTTCCCTTACTCTGCCCAGTTTTTCTAACCTGTCTCTTCTGCTGTCCCTTCCCCTCTCAAAGGAGTACATTTTTAACTGCCTTAATTGTGTTTCCTGCACTTTGGCTTCCGATTTTAAACATAAGTTCCTATGGAAGAGGGGTGTCCAACATGTGGCCCTTGGGCTGCATGCAGCCCAGGGTGGCTATAAATGCAGCCCAACACAAAATCATAAATTTACTTAAAATATTAGTTTTATTACTTAGATATGTACATTTTCTATATTAGTGACCACAAACTTGGGACCTGCTTGATGACTTTAAAAGATTATGTAAAGGGCTGCTGCATAATTAGGGTTATGTGAGGATGTTTTCGCTTTTCTGTGGTGGCAGATACGAAAATTATGTATGGGCCTTTTTCTTGCTCATCAGTTTTCATTAGTGTTTGTGTATTAAGTTTAACATACTGCCAACATCGCTCCTTATCTGCCCTAAGCCTAAGCTTTTGTATATTACTTGATGTCATTTAAAATTAGACCAGGCCACTGAGTTTAATTTTAATTTGTCCTCATTTTTAAAACTATTTTAGACCCAATGGTTCTCTGGAATGCTTCTACCAAAAAGCATTTTTTTAATTGTATTTCAAAGTGTTGGAAATAAAATACAGAATTTTTAATTATATAAAGCTTTTTTTTAACACAAGAATCTCTGTTGAAATACCATGTTTGTTTATGCAGAGATTCACTGAGTTCTTGTATGAATTACGGACATTCTTGACCTGCCCACCAAAAAAAAGAAAACAGCTGAAGCTAAGTGCCTGGGAAAGTGAGATCATTCCTTCAATCCTGAAAATAACTTCTATTTCCAGAAAAGCAGGACTGTTTCAGAGTTAATCAGGAAATGGCTGACAGTTTCATTTGCTTTGTGCTTCAAAAATTTGAAAGATTTATAAGTTTAAAAGTTGAAACATTGAGGGAAAAGTTGTTGAAAAAATTGGACAATTAGCCCACAGAGATGAGTAATTGACAATTACTCTAATAAGTTTGCATTTTATGCTACTATTAACTATCCTTCGAAAAAAACATTATCTCACTCAATAAACAATTACTGAATACCTTCAGGGTGGCAGACCTTTGTACTCATCAAGATCTGAGTTTTCAACCTTGTGAGACCAGATTGATAGGGCAGGAATAGAAGGACCAATACTAAGTAAGACTGCACTTGCCCCTTTCAAGTTTTGAATCTTAGCACCTGCCTTAACTCCTGAATTTCACTCTGTTTTACGCAAACTTTTTTCTAGGCTATTGCCATGATGCTAAAATCTTGTTGAATTGAATTTTCATTTCAACAACAAAAAAAAAACATTTCTGCTTTGTTAACAGGTACTAGTGAAGAACAAATAACATTGTTTTCACTTAGGAAAAAAGTGATTTCATTTACTAAAATTATCTCTTGTAGTATCCACACTTCCATTTCGGTTCCATTTCAAAGAACCAGGTGCCATTAGGAACAGCGCACAGTCTCCCCTGAATAAAATAAGTCTCCTAATTTAGTAACAGCATTCTCTATGTAGTAAGTAAGCTTTTGCTTAAGCAAAGATGATTGCTAATAAAAAGCCAAAGCATCTAGTCCAACAGTGGATTTGACTGAGAAATGATTTTCCATGAAGAACATACTTGAAACAAACCGCTTCAAAAGTGAGAAACCAATCTCATAGGGGTATAGCATCATTATCTACCTTATGATTATATGGTCATTTGGACTCCCAGGTCCCAAATTTTACTTGATCATGGAGCCGATAACTCAAGAGCAGGAACTGATGAGTGTTACAGAAAAAAAGAAGGCCAGATTGAGATAAAGCAAATTCTGAAAAGGAAAGGCAACAATTTTCTACAAAGTAGAAAAAAGATAGTAAAAGGTTTAACACCTAGACTTAGGGATGTGCCAGCAAATTAAGAAAAATGAGAAGACAGTAAAAGGGCCTGGAGAGGTACACAGAGCCACAAAATAGTATTATAGGAACCATAAATTAAAAATTCAGTTCTTCAGTTATATTACACACATTTCAGGATATTGTACATTTGTGGATATGCCATAAATAACCATTTCCCAAATGCTAAATATTTACTCAGCTTTTCATACTATTTTTCTTTTGTGTCTAAAGAGAAAAATACACCTTAGAATTATTTAGAACTGTTATCTAGTAGAACGTTCAGTGATAATAGAAATTCTCTGTCCTGTCCAATAAGGACACTAGTCACATGTGGCTATTGAGCACTTAAAATGTGTCTAATGTAACTGAGAAACTGAAATTTTAATTTAGCCACATGTGGTTAGTGACTTTTGGAAAACAGTTCTAGAAACAAATGAAATCAAAGTGAAAGTACAGTCGTGGGGTCTCAGCTATGATCTTAATTAAGGTAGTTCCGGTGCGGGTTTATAGAATGGTAATAGACCATACTTAGAACAGCTCGTAAACACCTAAGAAGCCAAAATATTATAATTGGAAAAAATTAAACATTTAAACTATTGGACCAAGGACAATGCAGCTGAGGGAAAGAGTAAATACTTTAGAACCAGGTGTGACTTCTCTGCAGTTGCTTTTCAAATTCTACTGAAAAAAATGCATTCAGTTAAGAACTGGACCTTGGGCGGGTATGAGGGCCACAGTACCAGCATCGCCTGAGTGCTTTTAAAAAAGAAATTATCACCATACACCCTGCTGTATCTGAACATCTAGGGTTGGGGCTCAAGAATCTTTTACCAAAGCCACCAGGTTTTTCTTACTCGTGCTACTGTTTAAGAACTATTGTATAATGTGCTGAACACAGTTTCTACGATCTAGGAATTTATGATCAAACATTTCTAGAATACAAATGATTAAATCACTCATCTCCCCAGTAACCAGCACACATTGAGGCAATCACGAGTGCTCAAAGATTTGCTATTAACTTGACTATTCTCCATTCAGACATAATGCTATTCATATTATTCTAGGGTGCGGGAACTGACGATTACATAATCACAAACAATAGCCAGAACAAAACTTGGATAATGTACCTTCTTGGTTTCCTTTGTTTTCACCAACAGCAATATGTAATGTGTGAGCAATTGTATGTATGTAAAATTCTGCCATCTCTTTAATGACCCAAAGGAAAGCAAATAATTTGAATAAAACTTTCTTGTGGTTGGAAGGGGAGGGGATGAAACAGGCTGGCCCTGGCCTGACACGGTAAACCTTATAATTTGAGGGTAAGCAAGAAGTTAATGATGTAACAGCCTGGAATCCAGTTTTAAAAGGGTTTTTCAACAGGCAAGAGTTGGCGCGGCCATGGACCTCTTACCTTCCTCGGTATTTTGTAAGGACGTGTCTAAAAAGTTAACTTGTTTTATGTGAAGCTCCATTTGAACTAGGTCTGCTGTACAATTATTTGTTTACTCTGGCAGCGCCGGGTGGGCGGTTTCCGGTTCCCGGGAACCCCAAATCTTAGGAATCGCAATCTGCCCCACCCGGGTCAAATTCCTGGCCCTGCCCCGCAACCCAGGAATGCGGAAGGACCTCGGGAATCAGCGGCAGCTGGCGGGGGGGAGACTGCGGGCCGCTGGTCCGCAGGCGCACCGCGGCAAACAGATCGGCCAGGCTCAGGAAGCCAACTAAAACCCCAGCCACGTTCTTCCTTCCGAGTCCCGTTCCCCGGCAGACGCGGCGGGACTTGCTCCCTCCCGAGCGAGAACTGCTGCACGTCCCCCACCCGGTCCCGAGTTGGATCCTGCCGCGCCTTCCGCAGCGTTTTCCGGTCTGCCTCCCGAGGCAGGAAGTGCCGGGCGCCGCCTCAGTCGCTCTGCTTCCTAGTGCTCGTCGCAGTCGCGGGTCTTCTCGTCAGGGCAGCCTGGGTTCCGGTGTCTGGCGGCGGTGAGTGGCACTCCGCCCCCGCGCGCTACACTCTTTGAGCTGCACCCGTTTCCCCTTCCACGCGTCACGGCAGCCGGATCCAAGCAGGGGAGGAGAGGGCAGGGGGCTGTGGGCGCTATCAGGGTGGGCGAGGAGGGAGGTTCGAGTCCCCGCCGGGCTTGGGTCCGCACGGAAGCTCCTGGGCAGTTGAAGCCGGCCAACAAACAGGCCCGGCTGGAGGAGATGGCCGAGCCGCGGCCCTGCGTCACCCAGGATGACTTCACACACCTGGTGCCTCCCACCGCCCGGCGGCCTGACTGCCCATCCCCGCCCTTGCGAGCCCAGTCAGTCGGTTAGGTTGTTGAGCCCGTGGGCAGTACCGCACACAGGGCTCGATGCTTTGGGGGGATACAGGAGTCTATTAGTGCATGGTTCTCGCCTTAAATGAAGTGTCCGAGGGAAATAGAGAAAACGCACAGGATGTGTGGTTAGTATAGGCTAAAAGGTAATGATTTCCATAAGAGCGATAAGTCTCACTGTATCGTGCATCTTGTGAAGATTTCGTGCATTTATGTTGACGAAAAGGATAAATAAAAATCAAGACAGCTTCCCTGAAAAATGAATCGTGACCTCACTGAAAGCTTTGGAGTCAGCCCTGGAAGGAAAATTGAGTATTTCTGGCTGGATGTGCGGTAGAAGGTAACAAAACCAAAAGTGCAAAAGGTGGGAATTTGTGCCAAATGGGAAGGAGATGGTGGGAAGACCAGCCTGAATGGAACAGAACTATAGTGAATAATAGATGGAAATAAGGGTAGGTAGGTAGATAAGTGGGGCCTTTTTATGGGTGTCTTGAAAATTTGAGGAGAAATAAAAGATTTAAGAGGCATTAGGGATTCATTTAGGATTCTTCACCAAGGAAGTAATATGAAGAAAGTGTTTAGAGGAAATTAATTTGTCAGCCTTTGTTTAAAATGAAATTGCACTTGTCTTTTGGTAAGAAAAATATCGTAGCATTTTAGGATTCAAAAGAACTTCATAGAACTCTTTCATTTTATAATTGAGGAAACAAACCAAGAGAGGTGAGATGATTTGCTTAATGTCACTTGAGGGATGTTCACATGGTACCACCCATTTTCTCTGTAAGCATTAGGTGGACCCTCCCCGACCTTCTAACAAAGTGCACAGCTTTTATTTTTTTGTTCAGGCTGCGTTGAATGAAACAACTTGTATGATGGCTGAGCCAACATTCATTTATTGTTCAGTGAGTCCGAATTTAGACAACAGGACAATCCCCAGGTCTGGGTTGCAGGGGTTAGGAAAGATGAGAGGACTTGGACCCCCTGAATGGGGCTGACTATCCCTGTCTCCCAGGATTCAAAGGCACCAGAAATCTAGGAGTGTTTTTCATTGCCAGCAACTTGGGGATCTTCCTTCCTCGTTTCACACTGTAGGGGTGTGGAGGTTTGGTTTTTACTCCCAACGGTGTCTCTGTATTTCCATGGTAGAGAATTTCAGTCTCCTATATGTAGGATATTAGGGACTAGTGGTACAAGCTCTGGAGCTAGACTTCCTCAGTGCAGATCATGGATTTAAGCTCTTCCTTTTTCTAGCTGCAGGCAAGATGTTTATTCTCTATTCTCTGATTTTTCTCTCCTAAAAAGGGGGAGAAGTAACTTTACCTTTGTTTTTGTGGATTAGTTAATACATGTGAAATGTTAAGACCAGTGCCTAGTACATATTTAGTACTCAATTGTTGGCTGTTTCTTCTAGGTATGGAACAAGGAGTAGATGGTAATTTTGTTAAAGATCTCTTGAGGAAGAGTTCAGTGGAGTTTTTGCTAAACCATGGGTAGACCATAGAGAAAAGCCTTGTTTTGGGAGTCAGATCCAGGTCCTATCTACAGTGAGCATCTGTATATGTAAAAGTCTGTTTGTGATAGGAAGGAAGCATATGTATGTATTTGCTTAACTAGTATTTATTGAGCTCCTGCCATGTGTAAGGTACTCTGTTAGACCCTGCAGTCTAAGGTAGAAAAGCTAAATGCCATAAAAATATATATGCAAAGGGCATGGCAGTGGAATACTACTCAGCAGTCAAAAGAGAACCACTGATAGCTGAATATCACAAACATTACATTGAGTGAAAGAAGTCAGGGACGTAGAATATATACTGTATAATTTTATTTATAATAAGTTCAAAGAAAAAACTAAGCTGTGGTGGTAGAAATCTCAGCAGTGGGTGCCTATGGGAGAGGATGGCTGACTTGGAGGGAACTTTTAGAGTGATGTTAACATTTGTTTTTGATTGGGGTGTTCACCGCATATATATGCGGTGTTCATTGTAATAAAACAAAATGATGTAGGAGTTCAAAAGACAAAGTTTACTGCCAACTGGGACAGTTAAAAATCCTTAATGAAGAAATGACAGCACTATAATGGATGTGGTAAATATTAAAATGTAACCATGTACTACAGGAGAAGTTTAACTGGTATTAAGAGAAAAGTAAAACTTGGGTAAGGCTCTGGGAAAAAAATAGGTATAATCTGTGGAATTGATTACATATTTGCCTAAATATGCAACATAAAGACAATTTTGTTATTAAATATATGAGGATAATTTTTGTGGGATATTTTAACTTAATTAAATGCCAAATTTTCTTTGTGATTGCTGTTTTCAGCCTGTTGCTTATCTATCCAATGATTTAATCCTCCCTGGTAGCACAAAATTATCCTTGACTATAGTAATGACCTTAGAAATCTGAGAATTTTTTCATGTTTTCTTTTTTTAAAAATTATTTTATTGTTGTTCAGTTACAGTTGTCTGCCTTTTCTCCCCATCCCTCCCCCTCACCCCAGCCAAACTCACCTCCACCCCTTGATTCTACCCTCCCCCTTGATTTTGTCCATGTGTCCTTCATAGTAGCTCCTGAAGGCCTTTCCCCACATTATCCGCTCCCCCTCCCCTCTGGTTACTGTCAGATTGTTATTAATTTCAATGTCTCTGGTTATAGTTTGCCTTTTTCTTTTGTTGGTTATGTTCCGGTTAAAGGTGACATCATATAGTATTCATCCCTCATCACCTGGCTTATTTCACTCAGCATAATGCTCTCCAGTTCCATCCATGCTGTTGTCAAGGGTAGGAGTTCCTTCTTTTTCTCTGCTGCATAGTATTCCGTTATATAAATGTACCGTAGTTTTTTGATCCACTCATTTACTGAACGGCACTTAGTTTGCTTCCAGCACTTGGCTATTGTAGATTGTGCTGCTATGAACTTTGGGGTGCATGGCTTCTTTTGGATTGGTGTTCCTCTATGAGAAATTTCTAAAGATTTTGATAGACTTGGATGAAGGTGGCAATTGAATCAGAAATGATCTTAGATTTCAGGCCAAGAACTCCTGCTGTCTGCATTTTTTATTCATCTACTTTCAGCCTCACCTTGTGCCTTCCCTCAGAAGTTGGCCTTGCTAAAGGGCACCTCTTAAAAATCCTACCTCAGGCATCTATCTCTTCTGCCATTCTACTGTAACTTGGCTAAAACGTGAATTCTGTATCATCTCTTTGCTCACAAAACCAGCTCCTCCTCCCTCCTTAATGACCTCGTTTTTGAGTGGTAGCTTTATGATACCAGTTTTTTCAACCAGTAATTAAAAGCACAGTCATTCAAAAATAGATTTGAAGAAAACTGCAGTTAGGAAGGAAGAACTAGCAAATCAGCACAGGAATCAGCCAGAAAAATAGGATAGTGGTGATGGTAATGTTGAAGAAGCAGTGACCCTGTTGCAGTTAAAAGAGAAACCCACAGAACTTGGAGAGAATGGAAGGAATTAAAATTTTCTAACCAAAAATTAGTGGCCACTTTGAACTTCTTAAAAATTCTGTGGTTATAATTCTGAAATAAAGACATTGACATATTTCAATTTTAAAGAGACCAAGGAAACACAGTGGCTTTATTAGTTTTCTATTGCTATATAACAAATTACTCCCAGAACTTAGCACCTTAAAAAAACAATAAGTGGTTTCTGAGGGTCAGGACTTCCAGGGTGGTTCTGGCTCAGGGTCTCAAAAGATTGCAGCCCGGATGTCAGCCAGGTTTGCAGTCTTTTGAAGGAAAATCAGCCTCCAAGATGGCTGACTCGCGTAGCTGGCAAAGGGATCCTGACCAGTGACAGGAGGCCTCAGTTCCCTGCCATGTGGACCTCTACTTAGGGCTGTGTACTGCCCTCATGACCTGGTGCTGGTTTCCCCCAGATTGTGATCCAAGAATGATCAAGGCAAAAGCTTCAGTGTCTGTTACGACAAAGTCACTATTATTTTTGCCATATCCCATTGGTTATGAAATGTAGGCGAATATACCACTTTAGCATAAATGTGATTTTGAGCTAGAGGCAATTTAGAAGAAGCAGATACAAGAAAAGCTTTCTTCCCTCCCCTTATTTGTCTAAAAGCAGGACAAAAATTTTCTCTTCTCTTCCAGGAGGGACCAAGATTACTCTCTGGAGATAACTTTAGACTCTTATCAGTGGAGAAAGCCCTCATGAAAAAATACATGACAAGCATTACCCTAGTTGGTAACTTTCCGTAACTAGCCCCTTTCCCTCACACACCTTCTTTTGTCTTCAGCCAAAGATGATTTTTAAGCCCAAGTTCTAAGCCACCTCTGAGAAATGGTTTTGCCCTTGGTATGTCCCATGTATACTTGAGGTCTACATGTTGATAAGCTTCTCTTTGTTTTTCTCACTAATCTATTATCACAGTGCTGTCAGCCAAGAACTTAGAAGAGTAGAAGGAAAATTATTTCACCTCCCCTACAGTTTCACAGGTCAACCCTTTTTACTGTTGAATGGGGCTACACAAAAACAAGAGAAGTGTTGAGGGCCAATTTGGATCCTGGCTACCACCAGAACCAAGGAACAAGTTCACCTCCGAGGCCAGGGAGTAACAAACATACTGCCGGTGTCAGGAAGTTGTAGGGAATAGTGGGGATTGCTCACAAAACACTTATTAACCACAAGAATTTGGG